GCTCAAATCTCCTGTGTTACATACCAAACTGACACACAGCGTGCACAGGCAACCAAACTGTCTCAGGACCTCAGTGTTACTGATAGTCTATCCTTCATGATTTACATTTGGGCGAGAAAACAGCTGCGCAACTAAAGTTGTCCTGTGCGCGCTTAGCCTTACTTAGTGTAACTTTTTTTCTTCGAAAGTCTGGAGTAAATGTTAGAATTTTTATTCTTTAAAAGCTATGTCTTCAAAATGCACCTGTGTAAAACGTTCTTTTCGCTAAAAACGTTCACGTACCAAGGAATTTTAGAAATCTAAAGTTCATTTATCACGAATATTGTGCATAAAGAATACAGAACATAGCAGAAAATGATAGTTTAAGCGTACTCAGGAACACAACATATTCAGCTGCAGTGAGATCGCCAGTTGTTGTTGTTGTTGTTTTTCAGATACATAATTATGTTAGTAGACGCACATTGATAGTATTTGCTATCAGTACATGGGTGCTTGCAACCCAGTCTAGCCAAGCATTACAAATAAAAGGAAACGGAAAAAGGACAGTTAAGAAATAGGGCCGGCTATTAACACCCCACAGCCACCGGGTGCATTTTAAAATAACACTGTGACATCTAGAAGCCGGAACATAATATAATCTCTCCTCCCTCCCCCCCCTCTCTCTCTCTCTCTCTCTCTCTCTCTCTCTCTCTCTCTCTCTCTCTCTCTCTCTCTTTATCTTACCTCTCCCCTTAATAGTGAAGTGTCATGTCAGCTCTAATGTGAGTTGAACAAACCCCACCGCTGGAAATAACACACCGAGGCCCAAAGCATTCTGTTTCGGTAACTTAAATCCTGTTTCGCAGCTAAGCCAGAATCGTTGTGATAGCAGTAAGACTTAAGAGTTTAGGAAAGACCGCGTAATGTTCCGCTTTGAAAGAGCGGAGTGCAGTCGAAATTGTCCGAGAAGGCCACCCATTGTCGAAGAGAAAAGTAGTTATCTTACACATGTAGACGTCTTGGACAGTGTCAATTATAGTATTAGTATTTTAAAAAACCAAAGTGGCTAAGTATGTACTTAGATCTAGGTTTGGCCCTATTGACTGAAACTTGTTGAGTACACAGGTCTCATTAGATCTAGATCTAGTAATTATTCAAGTTTAGAATACATGCAAGTCAGGTTTTTGGTTTTGTCTGAAATACAAATACTTTAGGTTTTGCAAACTAAAAACTTCATTTTCAAT